TATAGATGCTTGATGTCTTTACCTATCATTTGGTATATTTTTTTTGTAAATCTGACACTTAACCTGCCCACAGGGGGGGATTTAAAATGACAACTTTTTCACAAAAAATTAACTTTTTCAACTTAATTTTTGAAAATGTACCGGAAGGTCTGACACTTTTATATATATCTTAAATTAAAGCTAATGTAATATACTTTATAATGGTAAAAAAAAATTTCGGACTTTATTTTATCTTCATGGTGAAAACAGACATTAAACTTAATAAAAAAAATACGATTTTTGTAAAAAAATTCTTTTTTATATTTTTAACTTTATAATGCTATAACTTCTCGAAAGATGTATGGATCAATATAATTCTTTTTTTTGTAGATGCATGATGTCTTTACCTATCATTTGGTATATTTTTTTTATAAATCTGACTTTTTACCTGCCTACAGGGGGGGATTCAAAATGACAACTTTTTCACAAAAAATTGACTTTTTCAACTTAAATTTTGAAAGTGTTCCGGAAAGTCTGACACTTTTATATATATCTTAAATTAAAGCTAATGTAATATACTTTATCATGGAAAAAAAAAATTTCGGACTTTATTTTGTCTTCACGGTGAAAATGGCTACCAAATGCTATTATTGTGTGAAAATTCTCAATTTTATTTTTTACATTTTTAACATTATAATGCTATAACTTATTGAAAAGTGTATTGATCAATATAATTTTTTTATGGGAAATACTATTTTCTAATAATCTCTTTTTTATTCGACATACTTTGTCTTAATCAGGATATTAATAAGGAACTAGCAGTTTATGAAGCTTTTGGAATAATCCACCAATTTTTTAAAATTAAACACTATCTAAAGATTTGCATCGAAGCGTTTTTTTTTGATAGTGATTTTAATCACTGTCAGATATCATTATACTTGATCCAACTATGCCACGTCACCACTGTGCCGCGACCCCTCTGTGCTGGGTTTTTTTTTTTTTATAAATTTAATCCTTTACCTGCCCACAGGGGGGATTTAAAATGACAACTTATTCATTAAAAATTAACTTTTTCAACTTAACTTTTGAAAATGTTCCGGAAGGTCTAACACTTTTATATATATCCTAAATTAAAGCTAATGTAATATACTTTTATTTGAAAAAAAATAATTTGATCTCTGGACTTGTCTTCATGGTGAAAATGGCTACCGAATGCTATTTTTGTGTGAAAATTTTCGATTTTATAATTTACATTTTTTACTTTAAAGTGCTATAACTTTTTAAAAAATGTATGGATCAATACAATTTTTTCATGAGAAGTAGTATTTATATACATCTTTCATTGGATATACTTTTTTTTNTTTTTTTTTTGTGTCTGTTACCACTTTTTCTCAGCTCTCACCAAACCGATTTCTTTCAATGATACGTCAAAAGATCACAAATTGTATCTAGTCGAAGACATTACCCTCAAAAATAGAAAAAAATTCTCTCGTTCCCCTTAAATGGGGGAAACCTCCAAAAAAATTACAAATTTAAAAATCGCTACCATAACTTTTTGAAAAATTAACAAATTAATATAATTTTTTTTTATAGATGCTTGATGTTTTTAATTATCATTTGATATATATTTTTTGTAAATTTGACCCTTTACCTGCCCACAGGGGGGGATTTAAAATGACAACTTTTTCACAAAAAATTTACTTTTTCAACTTAACTTTTGAAAATGTTCCGGAAGGTCTGACACTTTTATATATATCTTAAATTAAAGCTAATGTAATATACTTTATAATGGTAAAAAAAAATTTCGGACTTTATTTTATCTTCATGGTGAAAACAGACATTAAACTTAATAAAAAAAATACGATTTTTGTAAAAAAATTCTTTTTTATATTTTTAACTTTATAATGCTATAACTTCTCGAAAGATGTATGGATCAATATAATTCTTTTTTTTGTAGATGCATGATGTCTTTACCTATCATTTGGTATATTTTTTTTATAAATCTGACTTTTTACCTGCCTACAGGGGGGGATTCAAAATGACAACTTTTTCACAAAAAATTGACTTTTTCAACTTAAATTTTGAAAGTGTTCCGGAAAGTCTGACACTTTTATATATATATTAAATTAAAGCTAATGTAATCTACTTTATTATGTAAAAAAAAAATTTCGGACTTTATTTTGTCTTCACGGTGAAAATGGCTACCAAATGCTATTATTGTGTGAAAATTCTCAATTTTATTTTTTACATTTTTAACTTTATAATGCTATAACTTATTGAAAAGTGTATTGATCAATATAATTTTTTTATGGGAAATACTATTTTTTAATAATCCCTTTTTCATTCGACATACTTTATCTTAATCAGGATATTAATAAGGAACTAGCAGTTTATGAAGCTTTTGGAATAATCCACCAATTTTTTAAAATTAAACACTATCTAAAGATTTGCAACGAAGCGTTTTTTTTTGATAGTGATTTTAATCACTGTCAGATATCATTATACTTGAACCAACTATGCCACGTCACCACTGTGCCGCGACCCCCCTGTGCTGGGTTTTTACAATATAGAACTATATTCAAAATATTTATGTTATTTTTTGCAGTTACAAAAAATATTTTAAAAATTAATTTTTTTATTAAAATTTTTTTTTATGATTTGAAAATAGCTATTTTATAGATAATTTTTAAAGAAAAATGTTTATACTAAAAACTGTTATTTTAATTTAGTAGTTACATTTATGCAGCATTTTTAAGTTTGTTAAATTTTAATTTTTTTTACAATTTTCCTATGGTATCAAATGTTAGTCGATATTATATTAGTTAAACACTTATTACGTTATTTACTAGTTACGGTACGAGATTTCTTTTCCATGAAAACCAAGTAGTAGTATAATTAAGATTATTAAAAAAAATATAGAAACATTGTCTAAAACATGTTGAGTTTTTAATTAAATTTATATATCATAAATGTAAACGCGAATATTAACGTGAATACGTGCATTTATTATCAAATCTCCTAAAAAGGAATATCCTATAATAAAATATGATTACAATGATTGAATCACGCAAATTAATAATTGTTATCACTTTTAACTTGGCTAATCACGGAACACTCGTAGTTGACATACGATAATGTTTTAATGTTTTTTAGTAAAGATTAGAGATAATCATTTCTGTATAAAGAGCGTTTAACGTTATTATTATTCATGGATAAGAAATTGCATACTGTTACCAGTAAATAACATAATAAGACAGTGTTTACTTCCGTCCTTTACATAATATTGACTAACATTTGATACCATAGGGAAATTGTAAGAAAAACCAAAATTTAACAAACTTAAAAATGTTGTATAAACGTAACAACTAAATTAAAATAACAGTTTTTGGTATAAAAATTTTTCTTTAAAAATTATCTATAAAATGGCTATTTTCAAATCATAAAAAAAATACTTTTTGTAATTGCAAAAAAACATATTTTATATATAGTTCTATATTGTAAAAATTGATTATATAATATATATATATAATGTTATATAGATCATAAGTTAGATCTGTTCCACTCTGTATGTATTATTTAAAATGACTTTTTATTTCAATAAAAAATATATTCATATTTCACAGGTATTACCAAGTATTTGAGTGAGGAAGACGCCAACTCCTTAGCACTAACGATAGTTAAGTAATTAACTAGTTAAGCCTTTCTTTCTTTAATTTTTTTTAGAATTTTTTGCATTTTTGTACTACATTAAAAATAGTGATAGCTAAATCAATAAATTTGGAAAAACTGAATAAACTTTTTTTGAGTGAGTTATTATAAAAAATCACTTTGTATAGTCTTTTTCATATTGACATTAATATCTACATGAAATATTCAAATCTAGCCGATATTTAATAATTATTATAATTTAATAAATAAAAAAACTAATATAATTATAAACCACTCGATTATTTGCAAAATAAATACTATATTGAAAACAATTGTTTTCTTGTTTTATTTTCATGCATATATTTTTGATTTATTAGTTACTGATTAATTTTAAGTAACATACCTTTGAACTTATAGAGGTATCGACTGGATTTTTTTTAACGGCAACGTACATATATATGTATATATATATAGCTAATAATATAGAAAATGACGAGTCACAACTTTTAAACCAGTACTTTGGAAGTTTTTTACACTTTTATACGTGTGCAGGACGAGATGTGCGCCTGAGAAACATCTAAAAATATAGATGTTATTATGACTTGAAATTTTTTTTAAAGAAATTATTAAATAAATGACTAAAAATTAAAAAGTTTTTTCTTACTACAGAAAGATAATTAATACATGTTTTTAACGTTGTCTAAAAATGCAAAAATTAAAAAAAAAATTACAGTCAAATGATTATTTGATCAATTGTTTTGAGCATTATTATATCTTCTTGATTCACCCACGTAAATACAATTACGGAATTACAACTTGAGTCAAATGAGTATTAGTAGTATGCAATAATACAGTATTTAATTTAGGTATTATTAGCGTAAAACAGTCTTTAATAGTGGTTTTGTTAAATTAAAATGTTAAGCTCTACATATGGTAAATAATCACATCACATTTATTAAAACAATTAAAATTTGTAATTATCTTTAGTTATTAGACTTCGGAATTTTACTCTTCTAAATAAAATATTTACCGTCGATTTAGATTAGTAAGCAAAATATTATATTTAAAATACTCGTATATGTTTCAAATTAGGCAACCATAAGTGGTCAATTGAATAATAATTTAGAAACTAAATTATTAACTATGGATAATAATAAAAATATTTTACTTTATTTGATTATTATCTAAAAATGAACTAGTTAATTACGTATGTTATCATTAAAAAAAATAAAGTTGATACCCTTATAAGATTTAAAGGATAAATCGAAAAAATATTTAATAAATCAAAAAGTATATGTAACTAAAAAATTTAAATAAAATATTTCCGAAATTATTTTTACTATATAATATATTGAGTAGGTTATATAAACGATTCTCACTACAAATTCTTTTTGGATTTCGTATTGAATTCTTTATATGATATTAGGGATAAACAGTAAAATACTTCATGATTGATAAATTGAGACAAACATGTACCCAAAAGAAGCCAAAAAATATATTTCAATATTATATATATTTTTCGATTTATTAAGTGGTTCATAATAAATGAATTACTTTGTATACTATTAATTGCAGTTGGTTGAGTAACGGGAAACTATGTTTTTAAACTTTAAAAATTTAATACAACACAATTAAAATGTTCAATTCATTTTTGCTTTTTTGAAAAATTGACATATTAATTTTTGAAAAATAACCATAGAATTGTTACAAATATGTTATAATTTGAATTCACATACATGTGGTTTAGAATTGACCTATATTGAAAAAGTTTGAAAAGATTATTGTCAATGAAATTATGATCGATCTTCTATTCAGTTGATTTATCATTTGTTGATAAATAAAAAAAAACTTCGATCAAAAAAATGTTTCAGAGGTTACAGAATTTAGGAAAACGCATTTTTGGTGAGGCGATCATATTTAATATATTTTATTTGTAAAAACTTGCTTTTAATACAGATGATGGCACCAAAAAAATTACCTTTAATATTAGCCTTTTAAAAACAATACCAAAAGTTAAAACTTATAAGTAAACGGCGATTAATATACATGTATTTTATATCTTCACTTATTATAAGTTATTAGAAATCTTGTAATAATATGATGTTTGGATCATAGTTTTATGGAGTCTGTATGTCTATGTAGAGACCAATTTTAGGTTTAATTTTTATGGTGAACAAATAAATATTGTAACTTATTCGCTGTTATTAATAATTGCACATTATAATCATCGAATCACTTTTATAAATATTTTCAAAGTAATTCTTATTGACTTTTCTGTAATTTTTTTTAACCTAAGCAGTTGAGTAATAAAATGTAACATAATTTCTACATAGACGTATGATTGATTTTTTTTTAACTCATATTACAAATAAAATAATTTTCATAGTTACCACATCTGTTATAACTTCATAATGGTTATTATTTACATGATGTAAGTATATACATGGCTCCAATAATTCATGAGATCCTAATCCATTTTTACTTATATAGTGCCAAGAATTTTCAGAGTATACATATAAGGAGGTTTCTAAGAATTCTGCTGCGGCAAATAATTCATGAAACTCTGCATACGTGGCTACGAATTAAAACAAAATAATGCACATTATTTTGCAGAATATAATGTTAATATTTGTTAATTCATTTTTTTTCCTTTTTTATTTAAAAGCGTATTCAATACATCTGTACTATTACAGCGTTATTAAATGTTACTTAAAAATATTTATTAAAAATAATTTGTTGATAAATCTTAGTCTTATATATTATTTATACGTTCGGAATTCACAAATAATATTAATGTTTTATATGAATATATGAACATTTAGTTTATATAAAAAACTTTTATGAATCATTTAAAGTTGTATATAAGTCAACTGTAATTTGAAAATCACAAGACGTTGTATTGAAAAAATATGTTAAAAATTGTTAAAAAAAAAAAATAGAACCATAATAAACATTTTACACTTTACATTTTACATTTTAAAATATTTTGTGTACTCATTCGATTATATAAAGTGTAAAACAATTTTTTATTATTATTCAAGTGTTTATTTAAAAAGTTTTGTATTAAAATTATTCAAAACAATAATATTTACTGTACTCCAACATTTCTTGTACGTGTTTTTCTTGTTCCAATTTACTTAGCATTGTTTGAAATCTTGGTGACATTTTCATAGACTAAAAATTATTTCAATTAAATAATATGTAACTCCAATAAGTACGTGTTTACCATTACATATACTATTAAGATTCTAAGTAATCCGCCCTCATCTTGTGCACCTGTTATCCATTGTGATAGTGAATTGAAAAAACAATTTCCATCTCCTCGAATTGGCTCTATCTTTTTAGGTTTATTTAAAAATTTTACTGGCTCTCCTGCTATACATTTTTTTTGTACATCAATGTTTAAATGAAGGGACTTTAAAATCTGCCATTGATGATTGACAGGCATAAAAAAACGTTTCTCTCCTTTATGTGGTCTCTGTATAGAAGAAAAGATGAAATTAAAGCATAATTAATTAATGTTAAAAACAAAAATAAAATTATTAACAGATTTAAGAGCTTATAGTAACGTTATAAATACACATAATAAAGATACAAAAATATTATCAAGTTATTTTGCAACATTAAAAACATAAATCAAAATATTATGTTGGATTAAATTTCAATGAATCCTCCATTATTCTTAAGATTTGGGACACCTAAATCTTTCAATTGGTTTAGATTAAAACTCTTACCAACACTATTTCTTGACAGTGAACTTTAAATAATAAAAAAATTAAAAAACAAAAAAAAATTTTTTTAGGAAATAACATCATATGGGTTTGTAATGTTTTGCGTATAAATTGTATATTTTCTAAGACAATGCTATATTATTATCTACCTAATAAGATTTGTTAAGACTTAAAAGTTAAATAAAGAATTTCAAGTAAGTTGCTGTAATAAATATACGTATTTAAAGGAGTTTGGATATGTAAATATTAATATTTTGTGTTTAATAACATCATAACAAAAAATGAATAATATTAATTGGATCATGTTTATTTTCTGTACTAGTATTTTAAATTTTGAAATTTTTCTGTACTGTTATTCTCAAAAAATAACAACATCAAAGTCTATAGAGTTTATATCGTTAAACTTATAAGTTCAATAATATTTCATCATATTATATCATGTTATGATAATCAATAAGTTAACGTTAGTAGTACAGTAGTAATTTACAATATTTTTAATTAAATTAAAGTAAGCATAGGTGTGTTTATATTCATATATGCTATTTCTTAGTTGCACTTCTTTTTTTTTCATTTCAGTTAAATGTATTAATGAATTCCAAAATAAATATTTTAAAGTTGTTATTAAATAGTATTTCTATTATATTAAGTCACATAAATGGTTTATGTATTAAAAAAATTAATATTATTTAAGGTGCAAGAGGAGGAGCTAAAATATTATGTTTTCTAGCTTCGATATATAGCTGGGAAAGTATTAGTTTCAGGAATCAAAACCTTAATGAAATAATAATTTAGATTCTAGTTCAGGTTCTTTAAAAATTTAAGTTAATACATGTTTTTAAGTATTTTTATTAAACAAAATATTACTATAATATCATATTAGAAAACAAAAATCATTTCCACTAGTGAAGATTATAAAATTTCAAACTAAATCATCATCATCTCTGTAGCTTCTATCTTTACTATTAAGTGTCTGTGTAAAGTGAAAACTAAACCAACATGTCATTAAAATATAAAAACAATACATTTAATTCTGGCATTCATAATACAATTTAATAACAATAATTTTTTTTTCTTTTAATTGAAAAAAAATTTTACTTTGCCAAATTTTATAACACAAAACTAATATGAAAATAGATGAGGTAAAAAAACATTGGGTAGAACTATACCCTTTGCCACTTATCCTTCATGAACAACAATTGTATCAAATTAAAAGTTTTAAAATGTGTTTTGAGATTAAAAAAAAACCCAGCTCAGGGGGGTCGCGGCACTGTGGTGACGTGACATATTTGGATCAAGTATAATGATATCTGACAGTGATAAAAATCACTATCATAAAAAATGCTTCGATGCAAATCTTTAGATAGTGTTTAATTTAAAAAAATTGGTGGATTATTCTAAAAGCAACATGATCTGCTAGGTCTTTATTAATATCTCGATTAAGAAAAAGTATGTCGAATGAAAAAGGGTTTATTAAAAAATATTATTTCTCATAAAAAAATTGTGTGGATCCATAAACTTTTCAATAAGTTATAGTATTATAAAGTTAAATATAATATAAATAAAATCGAAAATTTTCACACAAAAATAGTATTTGGTAGCCAATTTCACCCTGAAGACAAAATAAAGTACGAAATTTTTTTTTTCCATAATAAAATATATTACATTAGCTTTAATTTAATATATATATAAAAGTGTCAGACATTCCGCAACACTTTCAAAAGTTAAGTTGAAAAAGTTCTACTTTCTACATGTACTTTTTATATTTGAAGCCCCCCCTTGTATATAGGGAAATAGTCCGATTAAAAAAAACAGTATGTCGAATGAAAGATGTACATAAATACTACATCTCATGAAAAAATTGTATTATATTATACATTTTTCAAAAAGTTATAAAAATTAACAATGTAAAATACAAAATCGAAAATGTTCACACAAAAATAGCATTCGGTAGCCATTTTCACCACGAAGACAAGTCCAGAGGTTATATCAAAAATTAGCGATTTTTAAATTTTTTATTTTTTTGAAAGTTTCCCCCATTTATGGGGAACGAGGGAATTTTTTTCAATTTTTGAGGGTAATGTCTTCGATTAGATATAATTTGTGGTCTTTTGACGTATCATTGAAAGAAAACGGTTCGGTTAAAGCTGAGAAAAAGTGGTAACAGACACACAAAAAAAAAAAAAACACATCTTAGTAAAACCAATACCTTCTCAGCTTCGCATCGAAGAAAAAATTGGTGGATTATTCCAAAAGCTACATAATCCACTAGTTCCTTATTTATATCCTGATTAAGATAAAGTATGTCGAATGAAAAAGGGATTATTAAAAAATAGTATTTCTCATAGAAAAATTATGTTGATCCATAAACTTTTCCAAAAGTTATAGCATTATAAAGTTAAAAATATAAAAAATAAAAATCGAGAATTTTCATACAATAATAACATTCGGTAGCCATGTTCACCGTGAAGATNCACAATAATAGCATTCGGTAGCTTGCATAATAAAGTATATTACATTAGCTTTAATTTAAGATATATATAAAAGTGTCAGACCTTCCAGAACACTTTCAAAAGTTTAGTTGAAAAAGTAAATTTTTTGTAAAAAAGTTGTCATTTTAAATCCCCCCCTGTGGGCAGGTAAAGGGTCAAATTTACAAAAAATATATATCAAATGATACTTAAAAACATCAAGCATCTATAAAAAAAAAATTATATTAATTTGTTAATTTTTCAAAAAGTTATGGTAGCGAGTTTTAAATTTGAACGCGCACGCGAGTTAATACGAGTGAGTGACAAAATGTACTGCAAAAAGCTTTTATACTAGTAAGCACATGTGACTATGTGTGATTTTTTTTACCTTCCCTAAATGCAAACACTTTTCTTTACGGAAATACTAATTCAAACAAGTAATCCTATTATTAAAATCATTAATACTATAATAAATCGGTTCGATTCACGACTATTACTATTATACATAGTAAAAATCATACTTGATCATACTAAAACAAATTAAGTTACTTGTTTAAACTGTATCATTGTCTTTTACAGTAAAGTGTAATATTTGTTGTGCACTATAAATATAATTTAATTTTAAGTAAATTTCTTAATTCAATAATGTTATATTAAGTTTAAATTTAAAAATATCCATTAAAATACACCCAGTACAGTTGAGAACTATGATAGTGATGATTCGATATACTAGACTCCAATATAGTTTGATGTATAACAGCGATTAATATCACTGTCATAAAACGCTTCAAACAAAATATTAATAAAAAAATACTAGAAGAAAACATAGAAAATTATCAACAGAAATTATATAATTTTTGACTTTTTTAGCTTCGATGCGAAGCTGAGAAGGTATTGGTTTTACTAAGATGTGTTTTTTTTTTTGTGTGTCTGTTACCACTTTTTCTCAGCTCTAACCGAACGGATTTCTTTCAATGATACGTCAAAAGATCACAAATTGTATCTAGTCGAAGACATTACCCTCAAAAATAGAAAAAAATTCTCTCGTTCCCCTTAAATGGGGGAATCCTCCAAAAAAATTACAAATTTAAAAATCGCTACCATAACTTTTTGAAAAATTAACAAATTAATATAATTTTTTTTTTTATAGATGCTTGATGTTTTTAACTATCATTTGATATATATTTTTTGTAAATTTGACCCTTTACCTGCCCACAGGGGGGGATTTAAAATGACAACTTTTTTACAAAAAATTTACTTTTTCAACTAAACTTTTGAAAGTGTTCTGGAAGGTCTGACACTTTTATATATATCTTAAATTAAAGCTAATGTAATATACTTTATTATGCAAGCTACCGAATGCTATTATTGTGTGAAAATTTTCGATACTATTTTTTACATTTTTAACTTTATTATGCTATAACTTTTGGAAAAATATATGGATCAATACAATTTTTTTATGAGAAATAATATTTTTTAATAATCCCTTTTTCATTCGACATAGTTTATCTTAATCAGAATATTAATAAAGACCTAGCAGATCATGTAGCTTTTGGAATAATACACCAATTTTTTAAAATTACTAGTTACCACATGTCCCAACACTGATCCTACTCCATAAGGTGATCCATTAGCTAAATCACTATTGCCTTTTTTAGATCATTAATTTTAAAAATTATTATTAACAATAAATTTATGAAAAAGGCTAAAATTTCGTTAAAATAACTTATTATATATTTTTTGTATATATATCGTAATAAATTATTTCATTGGAAATATTAATAATTTCTATGTAACTTAAATAGATGATAAATTTGAAATATTCAGAACTATTTTTCTTATAGTTATATTTTATAGTTTTTAATTATTTAGTAATAATATCAAAAATTATTCGTGATAGAAAAAATATAATTGCTGATTTAAAATTAGCACGATAAATTGAATAATTAAAGTATATTTTTGACCCGGATAAAATTTTTTTCTGACCATTTATTCATAATTAACAACAAATTATTATCTAAAAAGTTCTGTATCAAGTCCTTTAATTTTTATACACGTTTGTCATATAACTAATAACTACTTTATAATTTTTTATAATTTTCCGAAAAAATTACAATACTAAATTATTAAATATCAATTTCATAATACGTTGAATTGCTTTAATAGATATTTATTCATATATTATGTTTATAAAGCAACTACTAATTAGGAATTATGATAGAAATAGGAGTTAATTTTTCTTTAAGAATAATCAACCAATTTATTAAAATTAAAGATTATCTACAGATTTTTTTACTTAAAAATGCTATAACTTTTTTAAAAGAGACCAAATCAATATCAATTTTTTTCATAAACACATGAGATATTACTTTTTGAAAAATGTATGGATCAATACAATTTTTTTTTTTTAAATGCTATTTATATACCTTTTTTATTCGATATAATGATATCAAAATTATTTTAATATTATCAAATAATAATTAATAATTAGAAAGTACAAATTGTCACTGTTAAAGTAACGATAAATAAAAATATTAAATTGAACACACGAATTACAAAAAATATCGTTATTATATTTGCTAAAATTCGATTAGAATTTTACAGTTATAATATTCAATATTTATAAATATTCAGTACAAATAAAATCATTAATACATTTATCATAAAGTATACAACTAAAAAAAATCATTTTAAGTTAACAA